CTCCATGGCAGTGGCACTGGTGCTTCCCACTGTAGCGGCGGCACCCCCCAGGACTGCCCAGGTGGGGTGCTAGCTGGGAAGATGCTGCCCCAGCTTGCAGGCAGCACCTGGCCCAGTCCAACAGTGCACGGGGCGCTGGAAGCCCAGATGTGTTCAGGGAAACTCAGGCTTGGCAGGCTGCCAGTGCCCTGTACACTGTCCAAGGTGCCTTTCCACCTCCTGGAACCACCCAGAAACAGGCTGGCCGGCCTCTGGGGCAGTGCAGGAAGGTGGCAGAAGGGCAGCTGGGTGTGCTGGTGGCCAGAGCTGGTGGGGACGGTGCATGGGGTGCTGCAAGCCCGCCAAGCCTGAGCTTCTGTGAGCCCGCTCAGGCTTCCAGCACCCCGTGCACTGTCCCCACCACCTTCTCTGGCCGCAAGACATGTACGTGTGCGTGACTTTTTTATCCACAGTGGGACAATTTGTCCCAATCAAACTAAAATACATCCAAGGAGGACTAAATTGCCATGCTCAAATAAATTTTTAACACAGATGTCAGGTGTTGGGTTGGGAGGGTGGGAGAAAACTGAGCCCCAATTTGGAGGCAATCCAGTGAGAGAGGTTAGGTGTCTGCATACTCTTCCTCTAGCCCCTCTCCCGTTCTCCCAGCTCTGGTGCTGTCCCAGGATAGTGGGGCGGGAAAAGAAAAGGGAAGGGAGGGAGTTTGGACTGGTGTTTGCCCAGCCTATGCTGGGACGGGTAGATTGGAGCACTCTGCAGCCATGCTCTTTTGTTAGGGCATGGCTGTAGAGCGTTTTTGAGGAGAAAATTGTGCAACAAATATAAATTTCTGTCTGTGCCTATAGTGTTAGCTTTGGTCCCTGTTGAGATGAATCCCCAAGCACCAGCGTTTGGATGTTTACATTTTGATCTGTATTTCGACAAACATGCTTTGGGCACTCGCTTTTTTGCAATTGCTCAAGCCAACCAAACTGTTGAAGCAGTAATGCAGTTTGTGCAAGCACCATGGAAGGGAATTCATTTGAAAAAAAAATGGCCAAGTGATTAAGGCAACTTTGTAGTGCAATACTTGAGCAGTTAAAATTGCAAGAAAAAGAGATTTAGGAGAAGGGGTATTTGCTGGCAGTGCAATTAAGGCATCTTGCTACAAAGCTAGAGGTATGAGTTCAAACCATACTTTGGGCTGAAAAAAATCTACTCTCGGCTTATCGATGTGTACATGGGTATCTTGTCATTTTAGGCTGGGTAGTCAGAGGCAGATGGGGATGGACCGTCGTTCTATAAGAACCACTTCCCTGAATGCGTTTCTTGATGTTACTGACCCGCAGTAAATAGAAAGCTCTTTAAATCCCGTGCTCCCGGCACACTGGAGTCTTGTAACTTTGATATATTGATAAAACTTGTATTCGTGCCAACGGATTGAATATGCCTAGAACAAAAGACCCCTGAAATAGCATATTTTTTATTCTCTTCCTGTAAGGAAATAAAATCTGTAGTCTTAGACAAAATTTGATTTTTTGATTATGACTGAAAATCAGAGGCCAATCTAACAAAGAGGCCAGAGATAGAAGTCTGGTAACAAGAGCACAGAATAGCACTGGCATACTTAGCCATTTTAGTGCTGCCAAAAGCTAACTGCATCATAGCTGTTGTCTCTGCTAAAAGAGCCAATCAAATCAATGAAACGTTGATATGAACCAGGTTGGCCACAGCTGCAGACAATGAGCACAGCTGTTTGGCAAACTATTCTACACGGAGATAGTTGAGTGAAAAGTCTCAGCTTTAGTAGTGTGATTATTTGGGGACAAGGAGGAGAAATGGAGGCAAAGGTTGTTGTATTTCTAAACAAAAGCCAACTATGCTGGACTTCCAAAAACTACTTAACCATGTAAGAAGTAGAACCTACCAGTACTACGTGTGTGTTAGTGAGGGGAAGGGGACAGGAGGGAGAAATGTTGACTGGTTTTTTAATCCCACTGGTGCCCACATTTGTTTTGTTACATCCGTCTTAAGAAATGGAATAGAAATGGGGAACGGGAGACTGAGATTTGAGAACGTGAGGGTCAGACACATGCAGCTTCTCTGATGCTCATCTCTATCAAAGTTGTGGAACTTTGGGGATTGGTGAACATTTTCCATAAATACTCAGCAAATTCCTGAATACCTGTGAATAATTAATATGATGATCCCCATGAATTAGTCTTTTGATTCACCGTGGCAGACTGCTATGTACAGTCATCCTCCTTTAGACACAATTTATATTGCCCTCATACCTGTCCTGGACGATGGACAGGTACAAAAACTTCTGAGACAATTCTCCTCCCTACAGTTGGAGCTCCTTATAGGTCTCGCACGTCTCTTTGCTCAGCTATAAATACCCCAGCTGGTTCAGGTGTTTAAAGCCTCTAACCCTACAATGAATCTGGGTTCTACCCTACTCCAGTCAAGTAGCTGAGTAATTACCTTGGAGAACCTGGGCCTACTTCCCTGGATAGAGTGTGAATAACTAAAGATGGATTAATGAATGAAAGAGATAACAATCCATTCTGGTTGATGACCTCAGTAGTCCAAGTAGTCCAGCTCAAAACCAAGCAGCCTCAGATGGGGAGACTTGGGATTATTTCAAAGCTGTGCCATTTCAGAAGAGTGCTCTTATAATAAATCTCATCTGGCTGACAGAGCAAACGAACAACAAAAAACTTCTATTTAAGCTAATGAGTTTGGGGTAAAATTTTCTTAGCTGAAAAACAGAATAGACTAACATGAAGAGAAGAAGAAGAATCTGGAAAATAAATCTAGATGTTGTACAAGGCACTGCTGAAGGGAAAATATTATTTGTGGGTTTTTTCCCAGAAGTTTGCCACTGGCATGCTTAAAAATGAGCCATCAGCCTCCCACGCTTGATTATATAGAATGATCTGACAGATTATCAGGCTGAAAAAGGCGGGGAAATTCTAAATTGCTAACACTGACTGATCAGATAATGAATGTTGCCAGGAAAGAAGAGGAAATGTGACACAAGAGCCTATCCATTTTTCTGTGTGATGTGACGGGGGTTTTGCCCCCCTCTCCCTTTAATGAAACAAAGCAGAATTTGAAGCAGATTAACATAAGAGAGGACATCAAATACTTCCTGAGAGCCTGGCAGAGTTTTCAAGACATGATCTGGGGTGTGGCAGTTTGAGACAAGATCCGATGACAATAATAATATGGTTGTTGGCTCTAAGAGCTCCTGCAACACTGCCATTCAATTCTCAGCAACCACACTGTTTCCGGAGCTGAACCCAAGGTTTTTGAAATTCAGTATTAAAGTATCCACAAACTGTTACCACTACATATCTGTTATTATAAAATGAGTAATAGTTGGATATCAAGGCAGTATTAAGTTCAATATTTTATCAAGCATACAGCTATTTTAATAATTTATTTTTGTTAATAATGGATATTAAAAAATAAGTCAGTTTAATGATCAAGATGAAACAATTATTCTGCAGGAACCCAAGGTTTTTGAAATTCAGTATTAAAGTATCCACAAACTGTTACCACTACATATCTGTTATTATAAAATGAGTAATAGTTGGATATCAAGGCAGTATTAAGTTCAATATTTTATACAGCTGTTTTACTCATTTATTTTTGTTAATAATGGATATAAAAAAATAAGTCAGTTTAATGGTCAAGATGAAACAATTATTCTGCAGGTGTATTTAAGCAAAATTTGGTCGTCTCATAATTAATGTTATTAGGCATTGAAATTAGAAGCTTCAGTTATGCCATTATGTATCACAAGACAGGTTTTTTCATTATTATTATTACTGCAAAACTTTGAAGAAAAGTCCGTCATCGTTATGGGTTGGGTGTGGCTGTTGCCCTTCATTTTGGAGAGCTACAAGACATAGTTTAGTTGCTTTATGTAACAAGCTATACTGGTCTCCACCTCAAGCACATGCATATGTCCCAGCCCAAAGTTAAGGCACATGTTGGTAAAAGTTCCCCTTGCTCCTATTCCTATGAAGGTGAGGGCACCTGTCCAGGATGGACAGAGAAGCAGCACATGCACTGAACAAGCTCTGCAAGCTTGGCTCCAAAATAAGGTGAGATTGAGAGCTTTGTAGACTTAGCATTGGCTGGAAAAGGAACTTGGAAGTGTGAGGAAAGACATTATCGCTTGTTATTTAAATCATTCTCTGCCCAGGAAATGCCCAGTTCTCCTTGTGTTTACCATCAGTACTTTCCATTTCACGTGCATGTGCGCCCAGGATGCTCACAAGGAGTCTTTTGATCAGCAGTACCTCTCAGGGCAAGTGAGTATAATTGAGGTGGGGAGGGACAACCAGGGCAGCAAACCTAGAAGCTGCTTTTGGGGGCTGAAAAAAATTAAAATAAATAATAATAAAAAAAGATAGCTGCTGCAGCTGGCTACACCACTGCTGCCAGTAGCATGGTCATCAGTGCTGCCCCATGTGCCACTGCTGCCCAAGGCACAGACCTACCACATGAGGCCTCTGCCTGCGACCAGAGCATCCTCCTGCCTCATCAAGGGTGCAGAGCACGAGGCCACCTCAATCTCCTCGCACTCCCTCTTCCTGCAGTTGCTGATGCCTTGCAGCTGTTCCCTGGTGTTATCAGCACTACTTATTTATAGCTACCACAGTCTACGTGATAATTAGTCAGTAGCTAGTATTCAGGTAGCAATGGGCTTTTCTGACCTTTTCCTGCTTCTACAATAAGCCTTTGCTTTCCCTGGGGCCATACTTCAGTTGTACATTGTCTTTTATAGATGACATTTTAAAGGAGAGCACTCCTCAGGATTTACACCCTCCATCCAGCCATTCCTCTAAATAACGGGCACACAAGGTGTCCGAGAGAAGGACACAGTCAGGGGGGAACACCACATGCAGGTCCTTGTCAATATGGGCAAATTAACATAGAGAAAGCAGCTTGAGTACATACCTCATAGAGTAATGTGTGCACCAAGCCTTGGCTTCAGGTCCTCCGTTACTGAATACCCCGATGACACCTCCTCAAGGAGCACGACTCCAGCAGACTCGTCGTCTTGCCTTCATCTCCTCCTTTCCCAAAGACCTCACCTAAGAAACAGAAATCCCAAGCAGTCAGTTAACGAGGTGAGGCATTGGTCACTCTCTCCAAGACTGTTCTCTAAAGCTTGTAGGACTGATGACTGCTCTGCGACAGGGTCAAGCTCACTGGCCCGATCTTGCTACTGGGCCGCCCCCTGTCCATGGGCACCTCACCTGCCATGCCTTGTTGTGATTCAATTATGACCTTAACTAGGCGGGAGGCTGCCCATTTAAGACCCCGATGCCTAGGGGTGATATCTGCTACAACTGTGTGAAGCTCCGAGTGCTGATTTGATTTGGAGGAAATTCAGCCCAATTTGGTGGCCGAATCTCTGAAGCCAAATCGAATCAGGGGACCAATGAAAAGGTCTGAATCGATTTGGAAAAGATTTGGAGAGCTTCAGCAATTTGGGTAGTCTCCGCAAGGAGCTAGACCCGGACTCCATGCTGATAAGTAGGGGGCAGAGGAGGGGGAGTGGAAGGAGGGGGGAGGGGGACCCCGTCAGGTCCTATCCCCTAGCCCCCCCACCCCTGAGCACTCTCAACCCCCACATCACTGAATCAAAGCACTGTCCCTCAAATCGGCCGAATCTGAATCCAAAGCGAATACTAGCTGCTTTGCACAGGCCTAATACCTGCAGCTCCAAACCTTCCCCTACACCGCAGCCCATGCCTCGCAGATGCCATCCTAAGTTGTAACTGGCTCAGGATCAAGGCCTGACCAAACTTGGCCATAGTTAGGCCTCTTCCATACTGCCCAATTATGGGCCACATGCAGATAGCCCCCTTCTCACAGAGGCCTCATTCCCTCCCCCTGCTCTCACCAGGGTCCCATTCATAGTGTCCCTCTTGGGCCACACACCCCACCCTCAGTCCCTGAGCAACCCCTTTAGGCCATCAGGTTTAATTCCCTTCACTCTTTGGCCAGCAGGCACACAGCCTTTTGGGCCTCTCTCATGTCCTTATCTGAGTGACTGTCAGGCAATTTGCCAAATTGAGGCTGACTTTGTCCCATGCCCATCTCCGGACCCCCACTCTGTCCCCTTACTGGGCCAGGGATCTCTAGGATCCTCCATCCCCACCGCCCCCATAGGTTCAGGTGCCTGCCTAGACGTGTCTGGCCCACCAGTTCTAACTAAAAATCCCACCAGATGGTGGAGGCCAGGGTTTAGGTGCCCCTACCTGCCTTTCACTAGGTGGTTCCTCAGCCCTGGCATTTCAGTAGTACTGCCCCACCACCAGCAGTCCCACCAGGCCATCCTTCCCCAGCAGGGGAATTCTTGATAACAGTAACCCCAGTACCAGTGACTTTGGTATCAACAAGATAAACCCCAGTAACTCAGCACCACCAGCCCTGATGGGTCCAGCACCAACAATTCCATCTCTCATTCAGTGCTATCGGTCTTGGCGCTGACTGTCCTGGTACCACTTACACCACACTGCTTATATTAGAGCTAGAAACCTCTCTCCATGTTTTTCCTCTCGCTTAAAGACATCGGTTGAATATACTGGTATCCACCTAAGTACCAAAGTCTGTTCCTGGTGGCAAGGAAGGCTGTCTTGGTTTGGGCTACCAGAGACAGCTACTGGTGCAAAGGATCTGAGGAAAGGCACTTTGTGCCCAGGAGCTTGTATACCATCTCTCCCAACTATACTGTCGGTCTGATAGAAGACATCACCCAAAAGAATCTTGCCCCTAGCTGTATCAATGCACCATCTACTAAAATTTCCTAAATGTTTTTCTGTGCCTCCATCACCCAGGAGCTATACTTTGGTGTGAAATCATTTCATAAGTGTTCTGGGTATTTAGGCTGTTTTGTACCATGATGGAAGAGAAGTGGGAGACCTACCATTTTCAACCTGAGATGAGGCAAGTATGTTTGATAACTGAGGGTTGAAAAATAGCAAAATCAGTAGAAAGTGTGCCAGGTTCTGTACGAGGTAGTTAATATGGGTAGAGCTGGGTGCGGGTGTGAGTGCTGGGTCCCTTATACAAGCATCTTTCTTTCTGACTTCTGCCCACATTCGTTGAGGTAAACCTTTTACCAGCACATCTCTCTGCTTCTGCTGTGCACGTCTGGATTGGGGCCAACCTAAAGGAACCTGTGAGACACTTTGAACTCTGCATCAGGTAGGTCAGGAAGTAAAAATGTGGAACAGAAATCATAGGAAAAATGCTTTTCCTCTCCCCCAATTATTTTTTTTAGGTATAAAGGAAGATATATGCCTATTGAAAGAGCTAAGGCACTCATAAGAATAAAAATACCTCTATTTATAAGGGAAATGGTGACATTTCAGGAGAACCAGGCCTGCGTGTACGTATGCGTACATCTCCAGGGTATGTTTTTTCATGAAGACATAACTTTTTTCACGTACTGTGACTTTTAAAAAAAAGTTAGGGTTGTTTTTATGTGTGTTTTCTTGTCTGATGCTTTTTTCTTGTTTTCTTTGATGCTTTTGTGTGATGTTTAATGCTCAGGAGACTAAGACTACCGCACATTAACATATTATCAGAGTTTTGCTGTGCGTGCTAATACACAGTAGCATTAATCTATTGCATATTAAGCAGCTAGTGTTGACACGGCCAGGGTCTAGCAGAGCTATTTCCATGGTCAGAAACATCACCCAACTGATAAAGCATGAACTGAGTGATGACATGATGACACTAGACAGGTTTCCCATGAGTTTTGAAGTCAGACTAACACCTAAAACACTCACCACCATGGCCATGCTTGGAGGAAGACAGAACTCGTATCTCTACAGTGAGGAATTCCACAAGTGGGCAATACTCACACAACCACGTATTTGCTCTTCAGCATCCCTGGCCTTGTGGCTGTGCTCACTTACTTCCAGATCCAGGCTTCAGGGCAGCTTGAACATCTCATGGTGTCCCTGGCTTTGTTTATTAATGGTTAGTAGTAATACTAAGAAAAGACTGAGCAGTTTGCATGATAGCTAAGCTATCAAATACTGATCCTGTGGTAAGGAAATGATACTTGGTGATTGTCTGAGTCCTACTATTATCTCCGACTTCGAAGATAGCTGATTTGCAGTCAGTGTAATAGTATATCCATCCTGGCACACTGTGATTGCTCATGCAATGTCAAGTCTCTTGGGTTCCTCCCCTAAGAACATCTTTTAATTAATTATTAAGTAAATAATAATTGTGCTATAATGATGTGGGACAATATCACATGTCCTTAGGTGTTCTCCTATATTTTGTCTGTGGAAAACTGGGAACAGAGCAGCTGCCCAAGTATCGTTTAGTGCCAGCCCTCTGCACAGCCAGGTCACGTAACTATGCAGTATCTGCTTCATGGTTGGTAAAGTGGGACTGATACTAATACTCATCTGCCTGCCTGCCAGAAACTGTGGATACCTGAAATCCTGTGTTTATATAATGTGTAATAAGATTCGGGATATTTTTAGATTAAGTCTATTATTGTCGTTCTTTTTTTACAGATAAGGAAAGAAGGATGAAGAGGGTTAAAAAATTATTGGCTAGGGAGCATGACCTCTATCTGCTTCATGGTTGGTAAAGTGGGACTGATACTAATACTCATCTGCCTGGCTGCCAGAAACTGTGGATACCTGAAATCCTGTGTTTATATAATGTGTAATAAGATTCGGGATATTTTTAGATTAAGTCTATTATTGTCGTTCTTTTTTTTACAGATAAGGAAAGAAGGATGGAGAGGGTTAAAAAATTATTGGCTAGGGAACATGACCTCAGCCTGGTGGAGATTAATAATTATGGCATATGATGGTCAGTAAATCTTTGTATAATCAGATTATTCTTTCAGTTCTCTGCCACGAGCAAATTATAGAAGCTGTAAAATGGAGCGTTAGGGAAAAATTTTTGCTTCTGTAAACTGGGTTGAAATTTTAAGCAATCATGGTATCACACTGCGTGCTGCTATGAGACAGTCAGGGCTTTCAGGTTTAGTAATAGTACGTGAAACCACAATTTTCCAACAGTACTGTAAAGGTTCTCCTTCCATAATATTGTACAGCGTTTCTCAACCTGTGGGTTGTGACCTGAAAATGGGTTGCAAGAATATGTGAATGGGTCATGAACAAGCACAGAAAAATGTGAAAAATCACAGATTTTCTTCTTTAAAGGAGAAAAATGTGGGAAACTGTAGGTTTTTCCTTGCAGGCTGCCAGAGCTCCAGTCCCCTCCGGGCTACAGCCATGGCCTGAGGGGAACGGTGGTGGCAAGAGGTGGTGAGGGCAGCACAGTCCCTCCTCCCCATTATTCCTCATGCTGCTGGTGGCATGGCTGGCACAGCTGGTACAGGGGCTCCTATGGCAGCAGTGGCAGCAGCAACAAGTCTCAACACTGTGCTCCGGGTCCTGTCCGTTGGGCCACAGGGGTGGCTCCTGCCCGTGCTGATCTGGCCAGGCTGCGGCCCTATGCCTGTTGTGGGTGCACAAATCTGGGGGGTGCACATGCCCCCCAATATATCACCTAGGCCCCCCCCAAAACAGGTCTATGCCTTCCCCACCCATAGATTTACATGTGGGGAGCTGCAGGAGCTGCTCTCAATGCTGCCTGGCTGCCACATGCATGTGGCAGACCCTGCCTGAGCACCCGTCTCCCGCTTCCCTCAGCTCCAAGCAGCCCTTCAGAGGCTGGACCTCTGCCTGCCTGCAAAGGGAAACCAGCCATTTCCCATATTTTTCTCTTTTAAAGGAGAACAATCTGTGATTTTTACAGTTTTCCATGATTGTTCATGACCCTTTCATATAGTCTTGCAACCCACTTTTGGGTCACAACCCATGGGTTGAGAAACACCCTGTGCATCTCTCCGCCTCTTTGGGTCACAACCCACGGGTTGAGAAACACCCTGTGCACCTCTCTGCCTTTCTTGGTGAAGTTCGATGCCATTTCAGAGCTAACTGGCAGAGATGGGTCTTAAACAATTACAACGTTGTCCTTGACTGCAGGTGCCAGTCATAGTTCACAGACTTCAGAGCTAAGAAGTTTGGTATGGGTTAATGGATTTAGCCAGGGCATTTTAATTACTTCCCCACTCTGTGAGGGAGGGATGGGTGAAGCGTCAGGAATATCACTTGTTGCCTTCCTGGCATCATAAAATGATAGAGCTCCTTGGTGTTTCTTGGGCTCCTTGGTGCTCCAGGTTTAAACTATTGAATCTAATCCAACCTATATCTCCCCATGCCAGTCCGACTTACTGCATGTCTCTCTTTGTCACAGGTTGGGGATGCTGGTAACATTGTTATCACGTCTGCTTCCTTCTTTATGAGGAAGAGAGTCCCAGGGCATGCCACCATTTACCCCAAAGATTTATTTCCCTATCAGAGGAGTTGACTCCTTCCCCTCAAACAAATCACTGTTGGATACTGCTCTCTGCTGCCCTGCTTA